AGCATTCAATGGGTAGACAAACAGATACTTTTATAACGGTTTTTTGAAGCGCTATAGAAGATGGATTCAAAATATTCAGCAGTTTTCCATGCTAAATACGAGCAGCTTCACTTTCTTCCTCTACGGTCGTGTTACTCATATTTGAGCTTTCTGTCGAAGTTGACGTGCTAGGTCGGTTTTCTGGAATGCTTGGAATTTGGGGTGCTTTAGAACGGAATCTTAGAGTATCATCTGATGTCCGCAGTGTCAGCGTGCTACTCAAGCGGGATGGTGCTGCATGCGCGTGGGAGCCATGATGAGACTCTTCGCCGAGATAGGGTTCACCGACTTGGAAGAAACCGATCTCGATATACCTGTGAAAACGTGATTGTTTAGTCAAAAGCTCTTGGAATATATAAGCGCTTTCTACTACATTATGTTTAGTTATCATTTTTCGCAGATGAAGGGAATATAGAAGAGTTAGTGACATTTACACTACCGTTCCTCTTTATTCAGAAAACAGAATATACCGTATAATAACTTCTAGCCAACATGAAGCAACTGTGAAGCCATATAGGTAGTCTGCCGGGAACAATGTCTGCGTAAAGATCATGGTCATTAACGTGCGCTTACTGTAACCATAGTCTTTTTCGTCAAGTTGGTAGTGAATAATTGTGGTTTCCAAAAATGTTGATCCAAAATGAATGAAGCCCAGAAGACAACCTAAGTTTTAAATATTTCGTTTTTAGTTGTACCCTTAGTGGACTGAAAGTTTACTAACAAATCTCTTTGTAGTGATATCGTGTAATAGTCAAGGTTTAGAAAAAGAAATAATTAAGGCATATATATACCTGAAACAGCTACAAATGACAAGAAATGTCTGGTTTTTTTCGCGTCCTTATCTGATATGGCTAAAATTTTTCTGATAGCAAGAAACTGCGTCCAGAGCGTTACCTGAATTAAGCGATTATTTGTAGAAGTAATGACAACTTTTGACGGAAAAAAATAACATTAAAGCACCTAGAAAAAACAAACTTGGATGAAAATTCGTGACAAAATTCTCATTACTGCTTCTTTGACATTATAGTAATTGTCAGTAAACTGGAAAGTGTCTTCCATCAGTTGAAGAAGAAACTTGACAAACAGAAAGACACAGCAGCCAAACAAAATAATAACGTCCCCACGTGCGCTGGCTCTATGATGCGCATCAAGTCTGTGTGAACGCAGTTTTCTGCTCCAAATATAAAGCTACAATAAAATGACATTATCAGCCCGTTCTGCTTCCTTATAGGATTTCATAACGCATTTGAAGTCTTTTGGACTGCAATGGCTACTTTGACCAAGATGTTAGCTCTAATATTGTCATAGACTTACAAAAATGAAGAAGATCATTTGGGAGAAGAAAGCAACAACTTGGACGGCATCATTTGTTATCCAGTGCTCTGGCCACAAATTATTGTAATCCATCGAATAGTAGAGTAGGACCAGCCAACGAATTATCATCAGTACTCAAAGGATACGTATTATTTTGGTACGAAGCACTTTTAGTTATAGGTACTAATCTTTTTGCTTCTGTCAACTGCTCTGCAGTGGCACTTTTGTACGAAAAATGCAAAAATTACAATAAAATTTTTACCAGTTGTGACAGTGGTGAGTAAATTAAAAATTATTTTTATAAACGGTCGAATATGCAGGGACGGTCCAGATTCATTGGCTTCAACTGCGACCGTTGAAATATTGTTGACAAATTCTCGAAGTATTGACCGTACTCCTCTCTGAATGTTTAATCATCGCAGTAGAATGGCAGATGACGGTAATCGATAAGGCTTTTTTTTCAGATATTATTTTCTTTACCATTTATTCAGAGGTTTTAGCTAAAGTTAAGTTTATAACGTCGATTGTTACCTATTGTGTAATTGAAAAAGTTTTCCGGAATTTTTGATAAAGAAAAAACAACGTGAAATTCTGTGGATTCTGACATTTCGTGCTCTTTTTGCAAATTCCAGATGTGCATTTGAGAAAAATCCATTCTAAACAAATTACTCTTTGCTTCTTAAGAAAATGTTCAGCAGTTTCTTCCGCATTTCCGCAGGCCAACCAATGTGCAATTAATAAGACCGGGTAAATTTCTGATGCGCATGACATAACGGCTATTTCCAACAAACCTCTGTGCAAATAATACCTAAAATAATAATCGTAATTTTAGTGTCTCTAAAGGCATTTTTAAATTACAGGTAAGCACAGTTTTTATTTGGAATAAAAAAACTGCTGTTAACGCTAACCAAATTCTTTGTGTTCCATGCAGATCTTCTTCAGGTTCACATTCATATTTTCTTTGTAACACTGGACACCAATACTGTTCAAGCTCATGACGTTGGCATAACTCCTTTAAACAGTTTAAATGAAAATAACTGTACCTCAAAAAATCGAATCTGTATAATCATCTTTACAGTGCAAAATCTTATGGCTAATCAAATTTTAATTTACGGTAACCTTAAAAGTTAATAGTAATATGCAACAGCAGTGTCAACCTCAAGTTCAAAATTTTACTTTTTGAGCAAAGACAAACTTAAGAATTTATATGAGGTGAAAGCAATTACCTAAATTTTCATATTATTAAGGAATATCAAAAAAGTTTTATGATAAAATTAAAACCAGAGCAGCCTTCAAGAAATGAATCTTTGACTTACTTCATGGCTGAGATAACCTTTATAGATAACCACTTTAATCCATACAATACAAAACGTGATATTAATATACAGGCGATTTACACGGTCTAAGTTTGTGTTTATGGACCCGTAATAACGTCTAAGAAATAAGTGAATTATTAAACGATTGTAAGTTTTAATGTTAAATAACTAGTTCCAAAATCTTCAAGATTATATGGAATTTAAAAAAATTTGTATAATATTATTATAGCGAATGACCAAAGAAGATTGATAGCTGTTTGACAGTTAAACTTTCTCTCCATCAAATTTATTGTTAAAGTGGTTTGATGTAACAGGCCTTCTTTAACACCTCACTAACCTTTGCATTATATATGCAAGTGAAAAGAGAGTAAACAGTATCATCATTGCTGAGTAAATACTATCTAAATAAAGCTCAGATCCGTAAGTGATGTCTACCAGCTTGTCACACTTACGAAAAGCGTAATTATACATCATCAAATATAAATATCCAACAGAAACACCAACAGAAAGTGCTACAGCGCCTAAAAAACATTTGTAATTTCGCTGGATTGAACCGTACCTTACAAACTTTATTTCTTTAAAACCATAAAAAGTTACCAAAATCAGTCATTTAGCAAAATTCTACACGGATTCTTCGTTAAAACAGGCAGAAAAAAATAGTAATGGCTGAAAGAAGTAAAAAGAAAGGTTTTTGGAACCTATTAGTGCCGGAATTGGTATTTCATGAGGCTCATCAAGTTTTGGTACATATCGGGAACGGTACAAAAATTCAATCATGATAAATATACATGATAGCATCAGACCACCTACTACCTAAAATAATCAAAAAGATATATTTTGGTGTTTCAAAAAGAAAAGAAATAGTTTTGTAGTGATATCATCTATCTTCCAAAGTTCCCAATAATAAAATTTGAAAGCAGTAAGAAATCCAGTGGTTTTTTTGACTTAGAGTAAATATTTTATAACAAAAACAAACTTGCTTTAAAAAGTCAACGAACAATCTTTAAACGTTTTGCAATCAATCAGAAATTAGCAGAGAGAAGTGTTATTAAGTTTTCAGGCTTCCATTGCATACTTATCCACCAATCTTACCTAGAACATATTGTTTTTTTTCTCATTTTTTTTTTCACTCGTTCTGTTTTCTCCGTCATTTTTGATATTTTTTATTTATTTGGCATACAAGGTATTCTGCCTCTATTATCATCTGACGGTAAAGGTGTTAATATTAGTACCATGCTTAGTTTTGCTTTAGTTCCTTTGCTACTGTGTTTACAATATTAGCTGGTTTTATGTACAGAAGTCACTCGGCTGACAGTAATTTCGCTTCAACAACAAAATTGGTTGTCTAATGATATTGCATTTGAACGGCCAAATAAAAAATACAGAACTCTACTGCACTTGTAAACTTGGCAACTAATAATTACCAGCACGGCGTTTGTCTGCCATTACCCTGAGCGCTTACATCTGAAACGTCAGTAGAGCTTCACAGTACTGAAAGCCTTGGTGACCAATGATCAAACAAATTAGTGGTGTGTTGAAAGTATTGAGATCCCTTTCAAAAACGCTTTAATTTTTCATTTTTTTCACTGTGCAAGTGTTCATCAGTAATTATTCTGACTGAGAATAAAGCCAAAGTAAACTGAGTAGTTGACATTTCAAATATCTTACATAATCTTTTATAAAACTTACAGCTAATAAGTTTTTAAGAGGTTTATTAAAATTAAAAAAAATTTCTAGTGTTTATTTTGAAATATAAAGCTACTCTAAGAAAATTAATACAATTTATCAGAGCTATTCTTTAAATTTTTATTGAGCGGCATTTGTTCTACATTCGATTTCAGATCACTTAGTAGTTCTTTATAAGAAACAGATTGTTTTTTACTTGACGACAAAATAATCATCATTGCAATAAATTCACGCATTATTTCTCAGTTTCACTGTTGAAATTTTTTTGTTCAAAGTGACGTCTTTTAGAAGTATACTTTTCTAAACAAAGTAAAAAAACGATGTAATTAAAACTGTAGTTGATAAGGTCAGTTAAAGTACTGTAACGTCCACCTTTTTTAACAGGTTGATTGAATTTCACAACGTTTTATTAAGAAATTATTTTTTATTTTAGTTCACAGCTTTTATTTTTTTTCCTTTTACAGTTAGTTTTACTTTTATTAAAATAATGCAAGTTTCATAGATTGCTTTACTTCGACACTACTGAATACTAAAGTTTTAAAAAACTGTGCTAAGAAAGACAGGCATAAGTCAAGTTTTAAGCCAGCTTAAAAGATAACTTAATTTTGTGCCTAATTAATGACTGCGATTTTCAAAAATTTATCGCTTTTCAAAAGCTTACCAAGTGGTACGTTCGCAAATAGAAAACTGTATTTTCACGACAAAATAGAACGTAGAAATTTGACGTCAGGCATAACAAAAATATGACATAAAGTGTAATTGTACAGATATTCTGAAGCCGTAGCCAGAATTTGACTGGAGGTATATCGTGATAAGTTAGGAGCATCTGAAAATTGTTATATGCGTCGCAGACATTTTTAAAAAACCATTAATAGCGCCAATCAAAAAACTGCATTTATTTGTACAGTCTTTCTTTTTCTTAGGAGAATTCAATTGTTCAACTGTCACAATTTTTTAAAAACCGTTTTAGCAATAAAGTCAGTTTAACGTTGTGTGGGAAAAAGTCAACATCAAAAGCTAAACAGTTATTGCAGTTCTTCAAACCAGATGAACTACAATTCCTATTATAACGTTCTTCTTCTGAAAAATAAAAATACTGGATGTAAGGAACAACAAGGAACAACGAAAGTTACCCGTATATCTTTGTAATAATAACAATGAGTAAATAAATAACAATTCTAAACTTCTTTATTTTCTTCTTTATCTTTTTACTTCAGACTTTAGCTGAAGAAAAGACTGAATAAAATTGGCGTGAAGAATGTGCCCAAGTTGGCAGCGTCACTGGAGAAACTTCATCAGCGGTAAAGGAGAAGTGGAGAAGTGTAAATGTTCCGCTTTCTTATCGACAACATTTACGAGCATCAGCTAGATGGGCGATCATGGTTTTCATTTTTGTACTCTTAGAAGCAACTTGAACATTTTAAATAAATTATTCATCGCAATTTCAGATCTTAGTTATTGACTAAATTTTTTAATTATTTTTGCTATTGTTATTAAAAAATTTCTTAAAGTATACTTGATAAATCTTTGTATGAAAATTCCAAAATATTTTTATTCTGTCGTGTAGAGCGACATACTGAAATCAATTTCACAAAAGAAAAATGCAGTAAGTTGTTTTCTCATTTGTTGATTACATATGTAAATAACTAACTGTAACAACAATTAGTAAGGCTAGCAATATTTAATCACATTAAGGCTGCTGAGAATCTACCTAATGCTAAAAAAAACCCATAAGGTTTCAAAATTTCACTAGAAAATTAAAAAGCTTATATTACAGATAAACGAGTTTAATTAGTTTTCGACACTCTTTAATAAAAAAAAAAACTACGTTAATAATCACAAAAATTTTATAAACTTTCAATTACCGTTTTCAACATTTGTTGCCATAATTGAATAAATGGTAATACGGTTTTTTTACAGAACCGTAAATCAACAATAAATACTTTAACATCTTTATCAATTTTCTAAAAAAACTCTAGATTCAATAACCGCACAAAATATTATAGAAACATTAAAAGAAAGTCTTAATTATTTTTTTTTTTTTGGTGGAAAGACACTGGAAACAACACTGTCACCAACTACCTTTGACTCTTAAACTGCAGTTTATAGAACCGCTAACGAAACCAAATCTAGACGATATATGCAAAGCCTAGCTTCAATTTCAGTTGCTACTATAGCCTAGGATTGCCGACATTTAACTGTTAGCTATTTTTTTATCGAGTCTTTGTCATTTTTCAAATATCGACAACCATAATTCAGCATCAGTACAAGTTTGACCCTATTCAGAGAGGACTGCTTAAAATACATTAGCCATGAGCAGCAAAAAGGCGGAAATACTACCAGTAAGATCTAAAGAAAAGGCTCAATTTTGTTTACAACCTTTTTTTTCACTATTTGTTTATTGCAGTAAAGAAAAAAAAAAAGATAAAAATGGAAATAAAACTTTTTTAGTTTAGATTTATTGTTGATCACTGTCTGAAATACAC